CAGTAGCAGAGACCTCTTCCCCCCAACGATTTTTGGATGATAAACATTTGTATCAATTCAACAAAACAAGGACATAGTAACAATATTTTTATACTACATTTATCCATTTTAAATATACTAACCTCACTCCTTTGTAACAACTAAGGCAAAAATGTCATTAATTCAGAAAATCTTTTCAGGACCCCACCTTGATGTTTCGGGACTCCTCTTTGGGTCTCAACCCCAACTTTGGGAACCACTGGGCTAAACGGCACTCAGCCCCCACCCCAGAAGAAAAGCTACACCCACCCTTCAGACACTCCCATGGGCCACACCCCCGCCAGCTGACCGCCCCGACTGCATTGATTTATCARCTGGCTGTTTTATCAAGGGTTGAGCAGTATCAACATAACATTTTATAGTGTGTCGCACAAAAAAAAGTCATCATCACATGACACTAATTGCAGTAATTGCAAAATGTCAAATATTAACTTTTGACAGTTTTACTAGCGATTAATTGCACATGATACGATTTTGTCCTCTGGAAACGAGCCACAGCACAGTAGAGGTGCACTGGTATAAACACTTGTGAGGTCACACACACCCCCCCCCCCCCAAGTCCTCACCTGTCCTGTCATAGGACTCATGGCAGGTGTGGGCGATCTCTGCTCCGAGTTGCAGATAGTGTCCGGCCTTGTCGTCCGGCGAGCCGTCAGCTCCCAGAGCAAACATGCCACCGGCGAAGCAGGCCAGGTGGCCCATCTTCCTTTCCAGATGGCCATTCTTCCACTCACCRATGAAAGTCAGACCACCGTTAGATTTTCGGATGAGGTGGCGCTCGATGGCCTAGAGGGAAAACCAGAGTGTGCATCRCAGAGAAAACAAGAACATAGGAAGTAAGAGATTAACTTTAGGGAAAGAGTAGAAGTTTCAGAAAAGTTATAAAGTTAAAAAAATGTGTGGTTATAATTCAAAGATAATAATGATTTTTTGACAGTTAATAATGAACATGCATAAAATGAGTTTAATTAAAATCTGTCCAGTGGTACTTAAAATGTTTTGTTAACAGAGTTGACGCCAATACCTAATGTTAATATTTTAAACAAAGATCTTCTGTGATCCGTTAGCACCCAATATATGAGTGGCAGATAAATCCTGGCTTTGATTACACCAAATTTTAGYTTAATATWTGTAATATTGCGATAAACCAGTTTTTTTATTTGGTACAGTTGATTAACTCTGACAGCCATCTTGAGTTGGATTGACACCAAATGTTAATCAGCTGTAGATGAACATTTAATAAAGACTTTTAGAAAGTTTCATTAAGATCCAGTTCAACGGTTTGTGAAATGGGCTGCTAAGAAAAGCACGCACACGCACACACAGGTAAAAAATTCTCATTATGTAGGCAGGTCTGCAGTTCTCTGTAAGTCGACAAGTACAGATCTAATCTCAGGCATGTGGACTGGACTGGATTCAGAAATAACCAATCCAACGGAAGCAGACAACACATTGGAGTACCGTACCTCGATGGCATCATCGTAGGTCTTACGAGCTTCTGAGTCCGTCTTGTCAGACATGAGCCACGCCTTTAGCAGGTACTCATAAAAACTGTCCCCTAATCCTCCGAGCGAGGTGTGATCTGCAGGAACAGGAAAATAAATTAACACGTGGAGAGAGAGAAGAGGAAAAACACCTCAAGATGAACACAAAACTCATCAAATAGATTCGTTTTTATTTTTTGATGTTGGTGAAGAACTTTTATTAAGCCTCCTTTTTTCCTCACTCTACCTTTGCAAAAATGTTAAAAGCACACTTCCTTGTTTTCCCTCTTCTGTTTACTCTGCATCTGATGTGATCACATTTCAGCATTCCCAGTAATCCTCACTAATATGGTTTACACAGCTTTCAGGGCTAGGTTCATTTGCAGGACACATCCCTGTCAGAGCCTGAAAGTGTGCARCCACACCCCGAAAATATGGTAAATGGTAAATGGACTGCACTTATATAGCACTTTTCTATCCATCCAGGACACTCAAAGCACTTCACAGTACAATMTGTGTCCTCATTTACCCATTCACACAGCACTCTATTAGGTCTCTACAAAGCTAACATGTACAATCAACTATGAAGACTAATCAGTGCCAATGATTCATACACTGATGGGACACATCAGTGGCATTAGGGGTGAAATGTCTTGCCCAAGGWCAAAACTGAGACAGCTGGACGGGGGATTGAAGCGGCAACCTTCCGGTTCCAGGACAACCCCCCCAACCACTCTGCCACAGCCGCCCCAAATAACCTCCAGAGGGTAAAATGAATGAATTGGAATGCTCCTAAGTCCACTTTAGGGGCAAATTGAACCTTTTAAAAAACACTTTGCAAGTCTTTTTTTTAGTTTGGCTGCAATTTGCAATATCATGCAAACATTATGAAATAATTTATATTCAAAAACTGTACTAACCAACCATGAAAATACTCTTCAAGTTTTCCATTAAGGAGGAAAATTACTGATCAAGATGATGAAGGTCAGTTAGAAGATAAGTGGTAATATTTCCCCAAATGCAGGGAGAAAATTTGACTCCTTTTCCTCTGGCTCTTTCTGGATTGTTATCTCAAATGAGAAATCATCACCTTTTCATAGATGAAAAGTTTCTCCATCTCTGACTCTGCATAGTGAAATCTGAATATTTCTCATATCATGCCTGTAGGAATCTCTTCAGCTCTTTGTAATTACATCTGATACCTGAGCAGATGCTTTGCGTCTCATCATGAAGGAGACTCTGGTATGTGACCAATGTGCCTGAAGGAAACTAGAGAGATACTTAAAGACAGCAAGAGATTGTTTAAAGGGTCAGATCGTGTACTAAGGGGTTGAAGCTTTGCAGTCATATCCTTGGCGTCTGCCTTTATACTGTGTCAAAACGTTTACTACATAATGGCCTTTTAAACCAATTAAAATAGCTGTAATTGATTAGGAATTGTTTCATTTGCTAGTTTGGAATTTTGTACTTTTGTACAGTGATTCCAATCTGTTAAAGATTTTTGTAAAACTGTTTTGAAATGTGTTCCGTAATGAGAGAAATATTGGTGAAATTTACATGTGCCTAATTACGTTTATAACTACAAATCAATCAAGTACACGCAGGCGTGGTTGATGAGCATTGTTTAAATGGCAGTAATATACTTAATTAAATGACCAACTGATTAATTGGTCTAAATCAGAATTGCTCAGCTCAAGGCCAACAACACACACCAGGTTCTTGTTCCAGTTTTATCCAGCATCCAAGATCATAATTTTATGCAATATAACCAACCTGATGGCATACAATTATTTTTCTTTTCCTAAATATTATTGCTTTAAATTAATTATAGAAAAAAGGGGCAGAAATTATAAGATTTTTTTCTTCTTTCTGCCTCCTTTCATTTCAGTTTGATTTGTATATATTTTTTGTTGTGTGTATATATGTTGTGTTTATCTTTTGTTTTTGATGTGTATAAAATTTTTGGTTTTAAATGAAATGAATAAACAATTTAAACTACACAATTAACTATAAATACAATTCCCTGAATGCACTGCAACAGCCTTCCAAGCACAGCTACGTACTGAAAACAGGTAGAGTATCTGTTACAAGAGGTTTATAGTAAGCAGGTACATTTACTTCGTTACAGTACCTAAGTAGTTTTTTTTTTGAGGATTTGTAATTTAATCAAAATTTTTAAATAGATACTTTTATTTTATTTCGTTACGTTTTGAAGCTAAAAATGATAGTTTTACTTCTTTACTTTAAAATGTAACACCTAGTTACTCGTTACACAAAAATGTTCGAACTCATTATGAAAGATGTTTATGTACTCAAAAAAATGAAGTGTTGAATTTACTCAACAAAGTCTTCTAGTTGAGTAAATTGAGCAACATATATTGTTCAGTTTATTCAACCTGGCTTAGTGGAACCAGTTTGGTTCAGTAAATTCAACTGTTTATTTCTTAGAGAGTGTGTAAAGGTATTTTTATTTTTACTTTTCCAACATTTGTGAACAGTTTTATGACTCTTTACTTGAGTTGTTTTCTCATCAGTAAAATTTATTTTTACCAATTTTCTGTTCATGTAATTTTACTTTTACTTTGTTATTTTTTTCCAGTAGTTTATAGACCTCTGTCTGTTACTGCTCATAAAGTTCCAAACAGAACATACTTTGTGCTGAATCACAAAGCAATTTGCTGACTTTGAAGCAAAGAAAATTAAGTTTGAACTTCTCAAACTCTGAGGCGGTGAAATAAAACACAGACATGGCTGTGGTGTGCAAACACAGTTCACTGCTGTCCATGTAAGCTGCTCAAATGTTCTGTGTGTTTGTCTGAATATAAACTAACATACTCCARTTTGAGCAACTTTTCCTTAGGATGAACACAGCAACTGAGAGTAAATTTCAATATAGTAGATGTTTATCAGAAAACACAATAACCAAATTTAAAGAATCTCCTCAATTTTTATAGAGTAATGCAACAGAGAGCAACATAGATCATCTTGTTGATATTGCAATTTTAATGCAAACTTCATAAAACTACTCCTCTGAAAAAGAAAGTAACAGATTAGAGGAAGCAGTTTTCTTGGTTTAATTCAGAGTTATGCACCTTAAAACAGGAATCTAGAAAACTGGAAAGAAAATGGCGCTCCATTAACGTTGAAGAATTTTACTTTATTGGAGAGACAGTCTGCTAACATTTAAGAAAGCCCTTCGTAAAGAGAGAACTGTATATTATTCATTTTTAAATGAAGAGAATAAAAACAATCCCAGGTTTCTGTTCAGTACTGTAGCTAGACTAATGAAAAGTCTGTGCCGGCGTGAACATGTTGACGCTGTCTGAAGCCAGCTGGTAGGCTCTGGTGTGTTCACCTAAGCACCTGATTGGTCAAAGCAACAGTATCACTGCCATGTGTTTCACCTTCCAGGTGCCTTCATTGTTCATTCTGAAGGCCAGAGGGTGATTTGTGGACCCTAGTAACAGATGATGACCAAAATATGATGAGATAAAACCTCTAAATAAATACAAGCTACTGAATAGTAAAGCTATGAACCGAAGAGAACAGAAAAAAAAAATAGCCTAATAATAATGTTATTAATTAATAATATTACAAATACATACAGTGGGGTGCGAAAGTTTGGGCAGCCTTCTTAATTTTCCTGATTTAACTTTATAAATCACTGATTGTTTGAATAAAAGACAGTTAAATATATCATTTATGGACAAACAGTGATATTTGAGAAGTAAAATGAAGTTTATATGATTTACAGAAAGTGTGCAATAATTGGTTGAACAAAATTAGGCAGGTGCATAAATTTGGGCACTGTTGTCATTTTATTGATTTCAAAACCTTTAGAACTTAGTGCTGGGCGGTATACTGTTTTGTACTGAAAACCGGTTTTTATTTTTGTTATGATATGACTTTTCTGAATATCGGTGTAAATAGCCTGAACATGTGTGGAATGTTTTGTTGCAGCCGCCAGTGAACTGTTTCCCTGGGGACACGTTTCTGCGCAGCACCGCTAAGCGCATTAGCATGCTAACGTTATTGTTGGAACAACTGGCGGTGGGTGGTGTGTTTCAGCCACTTATATGGTCTAATGTAAAAAATAAATCCCGTTTTCACCATCGCTGAATTGTAAACAACTCTTCAGTGTCGTGCACAGTTAGATTTAACGCGCTACGTTATAACGGAGACGTTATTGCATGGAGACTCTAGCGTGCTTCTATTGTGAAAAGCCCGGGGAGAAGTAGATTTGTAATGTAGCTCAGTTGACTGGTGTGTAAGGCGAGTCATCCTTTTAAGTTTTATTAACATGCAACGATAGACCAGATAATGATCTTTTCTCAACCCTTCACAATCGGACCTAAATACATGATTACTGTCTACAACCAGGCAAAGATAAAAAGACATATAAGAGGAGAGAAACAGTGATACAGAGATACAGTAAAAGAAAAAAGTCAATAAGCAAAGTTTGTACATTTTATTATCAGCTAAGCTGTCAGGAAAAAAAATACTGTCAAACACCGTGAAACCGGTGTAATTGTTGAAAACCAGTGTAATTGTTGAAAATACAGTGATATAAAATTTGGGTCATATCGCCCAGCTCTATTAGAACTAATTATTTGAACTCAGATTTGGTTTGGTAAGTCCAGTGACCCTTGGCCTCCATACACAGGTGACTCCAATTATGAGAAAGGGCATTTAAGGGGGGCAATTGTAGGTTTTTCTCCTCTTTGCATCTTCTCTGAAGAGTCGCAGCATGGGAGTCAGAAAACAACTTTCAAATGAGCTGAAAACAAAGATTGTTCACCTTCATGATTTAGGGGAAGTTTACAGAAAGCTATCTCAGAGATTTCAGTTTTCAGTCTCCACTGTGAGAAACGTGAGAAAATGGAAGACCACAGGCACAGTTCAAATTAAGGATCGAAGTGGCAGACCAAGACAAATCTCCAATAAACAGAAGCGAAGGATGCTGAGAACAGTCAGAGTCAACACTCGTACAGCATTTTGGATTTTGACGTAGAAACCCAATTTTCAAAAGTGACCTTTGTTACACCTAGATGAGACCACAGACCAGAATGTAAGTTGGAATGTTTATTTTTCCAAGTTA